CCATTCGCTCAGCATAGAGGCTTTAAACGGGGGATAAAACCAAAGGACAGGCATAAACATGATGATTAAGGGGATGTAACTTAGAAAGAGTTGTAGAAGTCGCAAAATAGACTTGGTCACCATAATCCAGCTTGGAAAAAGGACTAGAGTGGAATGCAAAAAGGAAGAGAGTCTGGAGACCTGCTCCCCATGAACGATGCACAAGAATTTTAAGGAGATTCAGCCAACTATGGCAAGCTGCCTTCAAAGAGAAAAGGTGAGGTTTCAATGGCATCTGGCGATCGAAGAGAAGGCCAAGAAACTTGACCGTATCACAGTCTGGAATACGTTAGCTGTGTAAATACAATGGAATATCTGGGACAAGAGGATATCTAATGAAGGTAATGAAATGGGTTTTCATACTAGAAAATTTAAATCCATGAGAAGTGGCCCAACGGGAAACTTGGTCAATCGCATCCTGAAGGGAGGCCACTACCAGGTGACAATCAGCACCTGCATAAGCTATAGCGAAGTCATCCACAAAGTGACGACCAAATATGTCATTGAAGAGAAGAAGGGCAAGTACTTAGGACAAAACCTTGTGGGACTCCTATGGCCTGAACAAAGTCTGAGGAAAGCGAGGCACCAACACGGACACGAAAATGTCTGTAAGGTAAAGCAGGAAAGGAAGGTTAGTAGATTACTGGAGGCCTAAGGAGTAGGCCTGGGCTAGGATGTTATACCTCCAAGTGGTGACATATGCCATCTCAAGATCAAAAAAGACTGCTAGGATGGAGTGTTCATTAGCAAAGGCATTTTGTACATACGTATCTAAGTGGAGCAAGGGGTCCAAAGTAGAGCAGCCCTTGAGAAAGCCATATTGGTGAGGAGAAAGACTATTGCGAGTCTCCAAATACCATATCAGACATCTATTCACCAATCGTTCCATCACCTTGCAGACTACACTGTCAGAGCAATGGGACGATAGTGAGAGGTATCAAGCCCCGAGGTGCCTGGTTTGCGAAATGGTAGTACAATGGCAGATTTCCATTATTGAGGGAGAACCCCTCGTGTCCAAATAAGATTGAAAAGACACAAAAGGACTGTAAGGGCTGTAGAATGCAGATGCTGTACCATACAGATATGAATATTATCGGGCCCAGCTACCAATGACTGGCAAGCAGAAAGTGTGGACTCTAAATCTAGGAGAGTGAAAGGTATGTTATACGACTCCATTCCATTAGAAGAGAAATCCAAGGGCAATTGCTCCCTGGTAGACTTAGATGCAAGAAACAAGGGACAGAGGTGAAGCCTTTGGGAGACACTGACTAGACAGTTCCCAATTTCCATGGCAACTTCAAGAGGTTCTTCAACACTAACACCAGCATCCTGCAAAATGGGAGCTGGGTCCAGAGCGTACTTGCCACACAACTTCCATTCCTTCTTCCAAACTGCACACGTGGGGAAGTCGAGGTAAGGGTAGAAACATAGTCTTGCCAACAAGTGTGTTTAGCATTGCATATAACATGGTGACTGCCCTGGCTCACATAAAATCCAAAAGATGATCAGAGGTCCAATTATATTCATAACGACCCCATGCAGCATGTTTCAAGCACACTGCATGGGCACACGCAGGAGACCACCAAGGCACATGTCTGAGAATGCCTGTCTGAGGTTTGGGGAATAAAACGTGATGGTGCAGTCGAAACTAAGGTCGAAAACTGGTGCAGCAGCTCATCAACAGAGGACGAAGAAGGGTCCCCACAAAAAGCGGTAAGATGAGAGTAAAAGTCCCAATTTGCTTGTCTAAATTGCCAACAGGGGCTATGAGGCAGCCGGGAATATGTAGTAGAAGTAAGAAGAATAGGAAAGTGATAAGTCATTATTCACAAAGACAGGTATGCCAACAATAAGAAGCAATAAAATCTATGGGCTAGTAGGGTCAGTGAAGTCAATGTGTGGAGGCAATGGAAAGCATGTAAGTAAGCAGGAATCAGAATGCTGTAAAGGAAAAGACTGCTGCCAGAGTTGTGGAAAATAAGAAGGGGTAAAAGGAGGCGCGCCAGTTCCCATTGAGGGTTTCATCTCCGCAATATAGTCAGAGATAGCGTCAAGTGTCTCAGCGGACAAGGAAGATGCCAATACCATAACTTCAGAGACAGGTGAGGTACAGCAAGTAGAGACTGGGGAAACTATGGAGGGAACCAAAGAGGTCTGGAGGGGAGGGGAGTATAAACCTGGAGAGATGCATCAGCAGAGACAGAAGAGTCCTGTGGTGGAACAGGAGAGGAAGGTGACTGGGGAAGAAGTCTGAGGGGCAACAGGAGAAGAGGGGACCACACAAGAGGGGGTTGAACTTCCACCTTTGTGTGAGTTAGAAAGGGGGTGAGAACTAAGCACCAAGGCCGAAAAGTAAAACTCTTGGGGAATTGTAAGCATCAGAGGAATGCTACGAGACTTGGGCTTATCAGACAGGTTCAACTTCACAAGTGATAGGTGCAAAGAAGATGCAGGCATGCAAGGTCTTGCAGGACTGAGAAATTAGAGGGGGAGAAGAAGTAGAGGTAGGAATAGGTAAGGGGGGGTGGGGGTTTCTGGGGTTTTAAAACTGCAAAAGAATTAAGGACAGGGGTGACCCCAAAAAGACATGACACGGAGGAGGGGTAGGTGGGGAGACTCCCAAGGTTGGAGGTTTTCCTGTCTCAAAAATAAGGAACACGAGGAAGATTCCCTTGAAGGTGGAGCCCAAGACACACCATAGCCAAGGCCTTCACTCCCCTTAAGACAACGGATTTCTATTATAAGATAGACCTGACTCGGGGGAAAAAAAAGGAGGATGAGCTTTATTTCAATGAGGTAAGTGGGGGAAGTGGCAAGATGTTAGCGGGGGACTGAGTATCCGCCCCCCAGATCTACAGTATTTAGCAGGGTTCCAAAGCACCAGCAATTTCGCCATATTGGTGGTAGGGACCATATACAGACCTCTGGGGCAATGGCCCGTGATTAAAATAAAGGGGAGTTATGGCAGTCAAAAGTTAAGCAGGCAATGTTACAGACACTTCCCCCACTGAAACCTAATGCCAGAGGTGAGAACCCCAAGGGCTACAATGGGAGGGGGGAAAAGGGAGGGTTGGGAGGGGGGGGGAAATGAAAAATGGGGAGAGGGGAGGATGGAATGGGAAGGGAGGATTGGGGGGTAATTAGGTTCAGTTGGGAAGGGACCAAAGATTCTAATTCCTTAGCCAAAGCCTCTTACCACGTAAAGGGAAAACCCCCCCCCCCCCCAAAAGAGGTCACCTCTAAAACAAAAAAGTTTGTTAAAAAAAGGGACACGCATTTTGGGCAAACCCTTGTATCAGTCGACAGGTTTAATCCCTTAAATGTCCCAAAAAAGTAGATCTCGTTTTATGTGCATAAAACACTCCGAACGTAGATCCCGTTGTTTTTTTACCCGGCTTTCAAATGGAGAAAAAAAAAAAGGTCGGGCGCCAAGTATGTAAAGTGATTATGTTTGGCAGTTTTAAGGGTTAAATGATGTTCAGTTCAACGTCGGTATCAGGTTTTCTCATGAGTATACTGTACACTTTTTTTTAAATGGTTTGGCAAAAGGGTGGGCAAGGGGAAAGACTGGAGTAGAAAAGATCATTTATTAAATGAATTCTTTTTTTTTTTTTTTTTCAGGATGAATACCATACAGTGGTACCCCGCGTTTTCGAACTTAATTCATTCCATAAGGCTGTTCGAGTGCCGATACCGACGAATTTGTTCCCACAAAGAATAATGTAAATTAGATTAATCCATTTCAGACCCCCAAAAATACACTTACAAAAGCACTTACAAAAATACATTTACATAATTTTTCGAGTTGGGAGCTGTTCGTATGCCAAGGTACCACTGTATATATACAAAAAAAACGTTAATAACTGTGAATAAGACAAAAATTAATGACTTTATAAAATAACAGGGTTCCATGTTCCTATATTTACCTTTTTTGTATTAGCTGAAACGTACCTGTGATTCCTGCTTTTTGTTTTTTTTAATTTCGCAAGTCTCGTGAACCACAGATCGGAAATCAAAGATTTACAGTTCTAGTCAAGAAAGTTGTTCACTGACTCAACTGACATACATATATACATTTAAAAGCCAATAATGCCTCCCTAAAGCCACATAATAACATTCAATTAACCAGAGTCAACATAAGCATCCATGAAGCAATAAAAAGAATCATTGGGAATGAGTTGATATGAAAGCAATAAAACGGTTTACTAATCCCCAGCTTGCATGAGCCAAAAAATAATTGGAGGTCGATGTAAATACATTTAGGGATTCATGTTACCTAAATAATCTAGTAAACATGCTACAAACGATGATCCGGAGTGGATTTGAAAAACCTAATCAAACATTACATCCCTTTAGGTTCAGTAGTTTACAGAATGTTTACAGTTTTCTTCCAGTAGATCTGAAGTTACTTTTATGCAAGGATTACCATTTTCAATGGTATATCACATATATTTAATTTAGTTGAGAACATCATGTAAAAACATCATACATACCACACACACACACACACACACACACACACACACACACACACACCAAAAATGATGTAATGGAGGCAGGATCCATACATAGCTTTAAGAAGAGGTTATGATAAAGCTCATGGAGCAGAGAGAGTCACCTAGTTGTGACCATGTGAAGAGGCAGGGCCAGGGGCTGTGACTCGACCCCTGTAACCACAGTTAGGTGAGTACACACACACACGTGTGGGGAGGGGTGCCTAATAAGCCGAATCGTCCAGTATGGCCTATTTGGCAAAGGTTCACTTTGCCAAATAAGCTGAATGAAAATTTGTCTATAAATTAGTGAAAACGATCTGAGCATAACAAAAAAATATATAATAGATTTAATGTAATATTAAATACAGTTAAGCTGACCAGTTATTATATACAGCAAAAATTTGTTGAAAAAAAAATTGTTAGTTTTAGGGAGGATGAAGATCCCCAGTCCAGTTCCAGAGGTGGTACCTCCCTATGTATGTATGTATGTATGTGTGTGTGTGTGTGTGTTATATATATATATATATATATTATATATATATATATATATATATATATATATATTATATATATATATATATATATACACAGTGGACCCCGGTTAACGATATTTTTCACTCCATAAGTATGTTCAGGTGCCAGTACTGACCGAATTTATTCCCATAGGAATATTGTGAAGTAGATTAGTCCATTTCAGACCCCCAAACATACACGTACAAACGCACTTACATAAATACACTTACATAATTGGTCGCATTCGGAGGTAATCGTTATGCGGGGGTCCACTGTATATATATACACACACACATATACATACATACACACCCACACGAGTAATTTTCGTGATTAATTCATTCCAGAGAGTCTGCTGAAAGTCGAAATTTCATGAAAATCGAAACCATTTTTCCCCATAAGAAATAATGTAAATCCAATTAATCCGTTTCAGATACCCAAAAGTATTAACAAAAATACATGTATTAACAAAAATACATTTTTTAGATATTAAATATAGATTTACATACAGAAAACAATAAGAATAAATGAACATTTAACAGCCAAATCCAGTCATTTCTGGAGTGGAACCACAGTCGATGGCCTCCACTCCAAACCAACAGATACAAATACTAGTGCCGGAAAAAAAAGTCCCCCCCAGTACCACCAATACCACCAGTGCGATGACATTCTTCTTTGCAAATATACAGGGTCTAAAGCCAGCAACGAACAACAAAATACCTTTCATCCGTGGACTGCTTGCAGAGGCAAATGCAATGTTCACGACTTTCACAGAGACCCACATAAAGGATCACTAGGACAACGAAATATGGATCCCAGGTTACAACCTATACAGATGCGACAGAGTGAACAGGCAAAAGGGAGGGATTGGCCTGTATATCGCAGAGTCACTTGTTTGCACAGAACTGCTTAATGCCTCAAATGATGCAGTGGAAATTTTAGCAGTAAAGATCGAGAGAACCAAAACTTAGTCATTGTGGTTAGTCTACAAGCCTCCGGATGCAAACGTCCTAGCAATTCCAGGAACAGCTGTTAAAAATTGACCACTGTCTGGAAAATCTGCCAGCTCCTGCCCCCAACATCTTGCTCCTGGGGGATTTCAACTTGAGGCACCTAAAATGGAGGAATATAGCAAATAATGTTGTTGCAGTGATAACACCAGGAGGCAGCCTAACGAGAACTCACACACACACGAACTTTTAATTCTTGCACAAAATTCAGCAAATTAATAGAGCCTACTAGACTGGAGGAATACACTAGACCTCATATTCACTAACAATGATGACCTGATATGAATGTCACCATATCAAAAAAAATATACTCAGATCACAACATAATCGAGGTTCAGACATGTATACGTGGAGCCCTAGACCGACAAAATGAGATTAGTCACGAGGGAGCCTTCACCAAATTCAACTTCAATAACAAAGAACATAAAGTGGGACCAAGTAAACCAAGTCCTAAACGATGTAAGCTGGGAAGATAGGGACTAAGCAACACAGACCCCAACTTATGCCTAGAACAGATTAACTCATTGGCACTCGATGTATGCTCAAGGCTTATTCCTTTAACCCTTTCGGGGTTTCGGCCGTACTAGTACAGGTTACGCGCCAGGGTTTTTTGATGTACTAGTAAGCATAAAATTCTAGCGCCCTCAAATCTAGCAGGAGAAAGCTGGTAGGCCTACATATGAAGAATGGGTCTATGTGGTCAGTGTGCGCAGTATATAAAAAAAATCCTGCAGCACACAGTGCGTAATGAAAAAAAAAAAACTTTGACCGTGTTTTTGGTTTTAAAACAGCGACTTTGCACTGTATTTTCGTATGGTATTTATGGTTGTATTCTAGTTTTCCTGGTCTTATTTTATAGAATGGAAGACATATTACAGAAATTGAGATGATTTTGATTGGTTTCACAATTTAAAGTACCTTGAAACTGAGCTCAAAGTAGCAGAAATGTTCGATTTTTGCCAAAGTTCAAAAAGTAAACAAATCATGCCACGCGTCCAATACACATCAACTGTGAATTCTAATATTCTTTCACAAGTGCGCTGGTATTATTTATACCATTTCTACACTAATTACAGTAGTTGCATAACAGTAAATCTTCTATTTTTTGTGGAATAAAAATTCAAAGTGGAAAGCAAAAGACATGTAAGAGGGGCGTGGGGATGTGACTAATGAACAGAGGAAATGTTATTTTAGTTATTTTCTTGCTTATTCTGGACCTATTTGGAAATTGGCATCTTTTGAAATTTGTGTGAAATTGGCAAAATTGCTAAATTCTGACACTTTATTGGATAGTTGAAATTGGTAAATGGGTGGTTTCTTGTACTCATTCGATAGAAAAAAAGGAGTTCTAGCGAAATAGTTATGATTTTTGTTCGACTAGTACACTGGAATTGGCCGAAAAATAGGGCTCAAAAGTGGGCAAAAATCGCCGATGCGTAAACAATCGTCGAGACCGCTAAGTTCACGAAGCATAATTCCGTAAGTTTTCCATCAAATTTCATACTTTTGGTGTCATTATGTTCCTGTTAAGATTCTCTATCTTTTCACATGAAAAAATATATATTTTTGTTTAAATTTTGGCGACCCTGAGATCAAGTCTCTGAGAGGGCCTGGCGACCCTCAAAGGGTTAAGAAAAAGGAGGAGTAGATGTAAAATAGAAAGAGACAGGTGCTCCCTTTACAGGCGACGGAAAAGAATAACAGAGCAGCTAAAAGAGGCCAATATATCTGAAATGAGTAGGGAGTCACTGGTCAGAGAAATAGCAAACATCGAACTTAAGCTATAGGAATCTTATAGGAGTCAGGAATCGCGGGAAGAACTAAAAGCCATAAATGAAATTGAAAGAAACCCAAAGTATTTCTTTTCTTATGCCAAATCAAAGTCGAGAACAACATCCAGTATTGGGCCCCTACTTAAACAAGAGATGGGTCCTACACAGATGACAGCAAGGAAATGAGTGAGCTACTCAAGTCCCAATATGACTCAGTTTTTAG